CACACACACACACACACACACACACACACACACACATATACGCACACATACTGGCATTCATTTATAAACCCCGGAAAAAAAAGCAAGTTATCCCAACCAGAGTCTCTAGGTTCCTTGAGTCCGACGCTTTATCTACTGAACAGCTTTGGTCTAAAACAGCTGTCGGTAAATTTCTTGCTCAATGAATTCATAATTAAGACAAAGCCAGCTCTCCGTCGAAATCGAACCCGGTACCTGCGGAGTTCGAAATCGATGTGTTACTCACTGAGCCACCAAGCTACCATGCAGGCGAAATAAGGGCCAGCGCACAGAAATAAAAGAAGATTCCAACGCTGCTTTTTGCGGATATTGAAAAATAGGGAACAACTCTTTTCTGTCACTTGGTTTGTTGAGATCTGAAACTTCTGGCGTAATGATGCTTCCGAAGGATATATCGACAGCCACCTGAATCAACATTTATTACAGAGATGTTAAGTGAGCTAATGAATGGACAGTAAAACTGGCGTGGTAAGCCAGAAGGAAACAAAAGAGGTCATACTCTTCTATTGATATTTGTCATTTGCATAAATTTCTGAGTTCCATGAGTGGAAACGTTGAGGGAAACTGTTGTTTCTTCTAACGCTTTACCTTCAAGAATCAAAGTGCCTTCATTTCAACGAAAACAAACTGAATTAGAAACATGTAAAGGCCAATCAAAATATGTACAGGTGGATTCAATAATAATTGAATAATTATAAAATAGAATTGTGTACTTCAGATCCGAAAGTTTCAAAGAATCTTCAATTTCTTCGCTTGTGGAGAAACCACTTTCTAAAAGACTTCGTTAATGGTGCACAGATTGATATCAAAAGTTGAATAACACCTTTTGATCCATCTAAACGCCGATAAAGACGAGCGTTAATCTTTGACGTCAGTTTTGTACTCTGCACTTTCTAAAGAAAAGTTAATTAGCCACTTGAAAATGGACAGGACAATCTTACATCTATGACGACTTTCTTAATTACTTTCAACGAGTCGAAGTCCAACCTTTCCACAACTGTCCTTTCAAGCACCGTTACGCGATACATGTAATGGTCAGACGAGCCAGCGGAATCACCAGACGCCTATGAGTTAAAATACGAATAATATTTTGCACATGTACGCGTTTTACATCATGGAGACGTTTCGCCAATCCCTTGCGTCGCCCAGAACCAAACGTTTGCGTCCTAATGAAGGGAATACGTTCAAAAATGCATCATGGAACCAGTCTATAAACAAACCTTGACGAATTAGGACTGACGGAGTCGTTCTTCCCGTTTCGCGTTGCTTTGGTCAAGCAGAGATGCTTCAGAGGTTCGGCAACCGAATCCTCTGATTCATCGAAGCGATACGGATCAATCTCTTTCGGGATTCGCGTTTTGGAAGGCGTCTTCATTAAGTTTCCTCGATTTATCCTTTTTGACGAATCAGTACTGGTTCTATGTTTTGGAGAAGAAGCTTGAATCTTGGATATCTTTTTAACAGATGAATCAAGAGACGCGTCTGCTTCTTTCTTTAATAAATAACGCATCAGTAAGCACAATGCTCACCAAGCTCTTAAATACTACCATTATTTAGTAAAACATTTGGCAAATCGCTAAATGGTGTAATTCAGACTAGGACTTATTGCGACAAACAAGCACAAATAAAAAAATTCCTATTTCATTGTTGGAGGCACAAATATAAGACCTACCGGACGGTAGTGACAATGTGCATAATTTGTAAAAACAAATGAGTTTAACATTACTACACAAAATAATACATTATAATACACTGATATATTATTGACACAAGAACCCTCTTTGATCTCCTGCAGAACGATAATGGCTTGACAAAAATCATAACAAGTTCAAAGTTCCTCCAATTTTCTTGGCCTCCTACCGAAACAGGAGAAAATGTTTCGATTTTCCTGGTAAGATTCCGGTTTTCAACTGATATTAATCTTCGTCACAAAACACAGAAGAACTCAAATATCACTAAACCGTGAAATGCCTTTATAACTTTAGAAAAATGTCTTTCCAGAGCCGTTACCTTAGTTCTGCGAATGAAGGTTCTTTTCTGATTTATAATTAAACAAAAATGATATGCATTATATCACATGAGAAAGTATAAAGTATTTATTACTATTGATATTGCCAGTATTAAATAACAATACTGGCTAATTAATATAATCGTTATATGGTTCTGCTACTAAACACAGCAACTCGTACTGTGAACACTTAGTGTTTAGTGCTGCTTGCATTAACTGGAAAATAGACAAATACTATTAATTACCTGTTGGCCAATACTGCAAACACTATTTCCTGGCAACTAGTAGTGCTTACATTACTCGCTGAACATCAGCAGCTGAAGTGGTCATTACTAGCAGCTACGTCGTACAATCTATCTACTAGCACTACTACAGAGGGTAACTACTGCGTATACCAAAATGAACTATATTCGAAACGTCGTGCTACAGGCAACAGTTGCAAATTTCCAAGGATGATAGGAAGAAAACTACTGACCAGGTCTTAAAACTAAGCACAAAACCCTTGCTCCTACCTTGTTAACGCAGCGGGGTGAAAACCAAGATATTTTCTTCACTTCATGCGAAGAATTGATAACGTCTAATAGGACCGCCTGAAAGTCAGACTTGGAAATGAATTGCAACGTGCAAATTTGAGTTCAAAAGTATGACTTCCTGAAGCGACAGCAAAAAGGCTTCCAATTTAATAACTAAGTAAAATACGGAATCGTTAGTATGGGTTACTCAAAAGAGATGTGACAGAATAGATATAGTACTCTAAAGTGCGATGACAATTTACCACAAACGATTTAGTTTTTTAAATTACCAGTTTTTTCGACATTCTCCGAATAACCACTTGTGGTTCTGCATCCTGAATAAACGGCCTCTTCAGAGGTGATTTTACGCCAGAGTTTTGTTTCCTCAGTCTGGTTTTAGGATTTTCTCTCTGACAGAATATCGGTATATGCAATACAAAATACAAGAACCCTTACCTCCATGCCGTTCACTTGACCCTTTTCAGGTGTTTTCCTAAATGACATTTTAAAATAAAATGGAATCAGCAACCGAGGAGGACGCAAAGACATTTGAAGACAAAAGAGCGATCCATACGCATTCACAGAAAAACTAGTATAAGACTGTATAAACTAACTGAATCGAATGCAGTGGCTTTACGTCAGTTTGATGTAAATCATCATCATCATCATAAGCAAACTTTGAGAAAATCTGAAAAAAAGTTGAGATTACTCATTGGAACCAGTTCTGTTAAAACACTGCATAGCTGTATTTAATAATGAATAAGTGCATTAGACGTCTCTGATACAAAAAGGAGAAGCGGCCACGGAAAACGAATGAATAAATACGTGCATTAGACGAATAATCGAATCCTTTAAGTGCATTTGAAGATAAGTACGGCAGAATATGCCGCCCTCGACCATTACTACGGAACTACTGCCATGACGGTAAGGACACTACGGTCTGCTACACACAGAGTCGATTCTTTAGTCGGTTCAAATTTAATCGTATTTTAAGACTCAGAATTACAAAAAACTAACTGTTTCTGGTCGTCGTGGCTTAGGGTGATTGGTTTTGTCTCTGTTGTTTCTTCACTGGTAGGCGAAGCATCACTCTCTGCAACACTTGTTTCCGTAGTGTCCTGAGGCTGCACCTCCAGCATCGCACTTGAGGCAGTTGGTCCTGACGTCTTTGGCTCCTGCGTTTCGACGAGTGCCTCTGAAACACCAGACGCTCGTGATCCCAACTCTAAAAAAGAACAAAAAACTACAATAAATCTAACCAGACAAGTCTATACATGTGTAAATGCTTCTAAGACGACTATTCAACAAACAGTTCAAGTAACTGCTTGCTTCAACAAACATTCAATTACTGTACACAGTACAATTTCGTGCACGCTAAGTACCTACACTGCAGAGGAGTGGTGATGATTCACGGAATCAAAGAGAAGGAACTATAGTACAGACAGCGACTACATGTCTAATGTGATCTTATGAAATGAATTAATCAGTGAACGAATTACTAACAAAAGCCAAATACCACTGAAGAATAGCAGAAAAGGTCGAGTGTGAGATGCACTACTCAAAATATAATCATTATGACATTATCTACTGCTGAAACTTTATTCAAAACTAATTCCAACACTTCATTTGCACAGCGACAAACCCTTGACAATACAGTTAAATTTGCAAATATTTGTAACTACTACTACCTTATAACGAATCTAATTGACAAAAACATACTTTCTTTAAATTTCAAAGCAATATGTTTATCAGTGACGGTTTAACCTTATAAAACTAAACTTTGAAGTAGTTATTTAAAAAATATGAAAATCAGTTTTGATATGCAAGCCATTATCTAATATCTGGGGATTAAAGCAAAATGGCTTCCTCAACTTTCGCCTTTTAGAAACAAACTTTGTTCTGCTTTGTGAACAGAAAATAAATAAAAAGGAAGTAAATCATAGTGAGGTGCATCATTTCAGATGTTAAGCTGATCGAAAATAATGCAATATACCTATATACCTTGAGTTTCCAAAAGAGATTCTGCAGGCTCTGTTTCGCTGTGTTCCTGAGAATCTTGAACTCCGAAATCGCTCATTCTGTCCAAGCCATCTGAGGTGGAAGTGTCGGCCACCTCGCTGTTTGGTGGTTCCGTGATATTATCCGATTCATTGACAATTTTTTCAATAAATTCCATGCTTTTTTGTTCACTTCCGTTAGTTTGCCATTCTTCTTGATCAGGTTTCTAAACAAAACGAATGTGATATTTTACAGTGGATAAAAAAGCAATAATTTCCACATTTAAACGCTGAAAGGATCTACAAAGAAGCGAAGCAAATGGAAATTTGCAGTTGTTTAAATATCGGTCTACCAGCCATTTCAGTCATGGATCTTATTTATGGCACTCTTTAATAATACTAAACTTATTCATTCAGGAAAATAAGCAGCCATGTGAAAAATGTATTGGCATTAAAGAGTGAATGGAATCATTACGATGATCGGATATCACGCTTCCCAGCTTATATACACTGTTCAGAGCAAGCAAGTTTGCTCCTAAAAGTCACATCAAAAGAAGTGTGTTCGCCTTCCCTCTCCTAACATTCACAATAATAATCGATAATCAGTGTTAAAAACGTGATACATATCGGGACTTGACTAACAATTTTATCTTACACAACCAAAATATTGGTCTATTAGATGAAACGCCACTACAGCCCCCGACTTTTGAGCTGTATTTTTGACATTTTTCATTACAGTTATCGTCTCCCATAGCTGTTCCAAATTTTACAAAAAAAAGCATAATCAATCAAAAACCGATCACACTTATCATAATGGATGATCGCCAATCAATGTGAGTGGGATGCCAGAAAGAAGTGCACAAGCCAGAAACCAACAGTGCTCTTACAAATTATGTTACGATGAAGTGCTCAAGATTGTTTAATATCCCATGCAGAAAAGATATGCCAAAAAGAAATGCATTAACGTTACCAATAAAGAAATCGGATTATTGACTCAAAAATGGAGTATTGGTCATGTAGTTGTGTGACAACGTCAACCACGGGAAATTACGAACGGACTGCTCTTTGCCGAGCCCTTTTTGAGCAAACTATTAAAGCAGAAGCATGCAAAATTTGTTCATATCTAGGCTATTGAAGACAAAAATATGCATCGAAAACAACCATAAATCCATTAAAAAATCCGTGAAATACAGATCGAAACATCGGTCGTGATCGAAATGATTAGTTCATAACTGAACTGTGTAAAATGAAAGCTTTCGTGCAGCATTTTAAACAACAGATAAAAATTAAATACAGCCCACAGAATTTTGGAACATCTGAAATTACACTGTACCCTGATTACATTTCAGAGTAAAAAAAGCTTTTATATAGAATTTATCTCAACTATTAAAACAGAAACTATAATTAACGAATGTTGTTTATGCCTACATAGAGTAAATCCCATTTTTAGTGAATAACAATATTTCACGACTTAGTAGTTTCCGCTTTCTAACACGTGTCTGTCAAACTGCGATGAACTGCGGGAAACACAACTGCGGACTGGAGAACGGGAGATACTGTACCCGTATTCAAGAAGGGAGACCACAAAGAATGCTCCAATTATAGGGGCATAATGTTATTGAGCCTCCCAGGTAAAGTGTACTCAAAGGTGCTAGAAAGGAGGTGCCGCAAAATAATTGACCTCAAGATACAAAAGCAGTGTGGCTTCCGGCCTGGTCGAAGCACCTCTGACCATATATTTGCTCTGCGCCAGATTGTTGAGAAATCGAGGGAGTATGCCCAGCCGGTGTACATGCGTTTTGTGGACCTAGAGAAAGCGTATGACCGGGTCCCACGCAACAGTCTGTGGACATGCCTTCGTACATACGGGATTGATGGCCAACTGCTAAGGTCCATCCAGTCACTGTATTCTGAGAGCAAGTGCTGATTCAGAATAAATGGCT